GAGACACACCACAGCTCCAATTCACCTGTGTCTTACTGCCTTGGGGCAATGTTATTGCTAGATACCTTGAGGGCCATATCGCTGGGGGGAACTCAGGTGGCGAGGGGGTGGAGGGTCTCATGTTTATGCTTAGGTTGAATAACATCCTATAGATTGTTATTGTTATACAGATGACTTGCCTTAACCCTCTTCCTCAACAGATGTACCCGAAGCCCCAGAGTGACTCCCACTAATGAGCTGATAGTTCTTCAAGGGTTACAATCCACGACACGCAACACTGACCTGGCCCCGGCCTGCTCTGCAGTCGCTACGCTCCGAGGCACATGGGGACACCCTCCTGTAGTAGCCTGAGAGAGATGCAAAACAGGGAGTCCCTGAGTGCCAGACCACTGGTCTGGTTCCAGGGAACACTGAGGGGGCGCTGACTGCAGAGCGGATGGCACCCAGGTGCAGTGGGAGGGGGGAACATTAAGACCGGGGCCCTGCGGGCCATCTACTCGGGTCAAGGGGATCTTGGTCCCGCAGGGTGGCAACTTGTGTTGCCACATCTGAGAGATCAGCTTGGGTCCCGGCAGGCCGGTGGATCATCAATATCAACAGGAAAGGCACAGGTCGACGGCTAGCCTGCGGAGTCCGCTTGGGATGGCATAGGGTCGATCCGGTGGGTGATTTCATGCTCTGTTTGAAAGACCACTGAGTAGAGCTCTAATAATTAGCCTAGAGCCTTGTTGCCATGTTTGTTTTGTATTAGACAGCTTTAAGTTACTGAATGTCGGGAATGTGAATTTTTTTTGGATACTTGAGGGAGTACCTCATGAAGCTTCTTTGCTTGCCTAAACCCCACTTAGGTTCCTTCCGTGCTACAAGCGTTGAAGGCAGTCTCTTCGATACTTTACTGTGTGTTCACTGTCTTTGTCTCCCCCCCTTCCTGGTCTCCTCCTTAGGTCTCCTCCTCCTGTGTCTGTTTACCTCCTCCCCATCCCCTGCCCAGGTGTTTCCTCTCCGGCGGTGGTGGGGTCTCCGAGGCGGCAGGCACGCTACCCCTCCCCCATCCTCAGTCGCAGCCATGGCCCAGCGGGATCGGATGGCGGACAGGACCATGTCTACCTGCTTCCTGTCCTGGAATGTGAAGGGTCTCAACATCCCCGAGAAGCGATCGCGAGTGCTGGGTGATTTGTGGAGACATAGACCACATATCGCATTCCTGCAGGAAACCCACTTCCGTTCTGATTGCATTCCAAGGCTCTCTGACGCCCATTTCCCATTTGTGTACCACAGCGCCACCCCCGACTCTAAATCCCGGGGGGTCAGTATACTGAT